TATCCCGGTAAATTACATTACATTACATTACATTACATTTAGCTGACGCTTTTATCCAAAGCGACTTACAATAAGTACATTCGACCAGAGATACAACCTTGAAGAAAACAGAATCATATAAGTACATCAGTTTTCATAGAGCCAAAGTGCTACTCAACTGGCTTTAGATAAGCCAGTCCTTTATTAGTATATAAGTGCTTTGTTAGTAATTCTATCGCTCAAAGTGGAGTGTAAATCGTTCTGGTCGTAAAGAACCGGGTGATTTGCTACCGTAATTTCTCGTTTGGAATATGAGGAAATGAACTGCGGTCTGGCTCTCCCAGCTTGCACGCGGTTTGATTGGCTAGCGCTTGTACTGTCAGATTTGCATAAACGGGATTTGATTGGCTGACGCTTCCAGCTCAGCTTCATAGTTGAACATTGCTCAACTTTTGAATCCTGAAAATCCTGGAAATCCTGGAAATCTTCGCTTTGCTTCCCCACAATGCAGTTTGGCGAAAAGCGAGGCAAAGTGACGTCACTCCCATTCAAAGTTAATGGGCAGAGAAGCGTTGGAAGATTTTTTTAAAGTTGCTGTGTGGACGTACCGTTACATGATCCAGAGCGGAGTTGTGTAACTTATCTGTTAAGTTGTTTTTGTTGTAGTACTGAATGTTGCCACAAGGGGTAAAACCTTGAAGGATTTATACAACACACACTTAAAAAAGATCCTGAAGAAAAAAAATGCACCTGCTACATATTTCTTCTTTTTACCTTTTCTTAAATCATAAGCACACAAACAAAACCAATTCAGATAATTATATGAATTGCCAACATGTTCTCACTAGCCTCTCATTACCTCTGTACTTTGTGATTCTAATATTGTGCAACAAATATGAAACTAGAAGTAAAACCACTAACTCTAGGCAATGAAACTACAAAAAATTGATTATTGAAAGGTTAACACTCCGAAATACCTCCTGTTTGTATCAGATATGATAACATGCAGAAAGCACTCAGTACAATGTGAATGTGCTAGCCGGTGTGGTTAGCCACTGAGTAGCCGGTGCAGTGATTAAACCACCTCCCTTTCCCTCTCCATCTCCATCTCTCTGTGCCACTTGCACTTGTAGCCCCTGTGCTTCAGGATAAGTGGCTGTAATTAGTTTTTTTGTTGTTGTAAGTCCTGCCTTGTTGCAGGCTTGCAGTCGGCCATTGATCACTGCTCTGTAAGTGCATCAGTTGTGTTAACACAATAACATATACAAGTCTACATTATGCTACGCATAGAAACAATCCAAGAGCATACAGAAAACTAAAATGCTTGTGCCAACACAGTTCTATTTTTGCCAGGTGGATTGGCTCTTCTTTTTTTTTTTACTTTTTAAGAAACTCCACTACTGGATTAAAGGGTGCAGCTTGGGTTGTTTATTCAGTTCAGGTGATGCAGTTCTGGTTACCATTTTGGCACA